ATCCCTTCCCCTTTCACCCATCCTTAACCCCCCTCCCATTTTAAAGAAATCCCTCTAAGATTCCTTGTGATACTGGTTTGGTGCTGATGAACTCCTTCAGCTCTTTCTTATCTGGGAAGCTCCTTATCTGCCCTTTGATTCTAAATGACAGCCTTGCTGGGTAGAGCAATCTTGGTTGTGTGTCGCTGCTTTTCATCACTTTGAATATTTCCTGCCACTCCCTTCTTGCCTGCTAAGTTTCAGTTGAGAAATCTGCTGACAGTAACTTTGATTTTTATCAAATTACATTTTGGTATGTATTTAAAAAATAAGAGATTGATTTTTGTTTGTAAGCTACTAGTACTATGAATTATATCAATAGATTTTCTAATATAGAAGCCATTCTTGATTTTTTGTTTTAATGATACCTTGATATTCATTTTTAAAATATGGCACTAAATCAAAATTTTCCCTTTTTTAAAATTAATTTTTAATTTCAAGGAAGCTTTATATGTAATTCTGGCCCATGTAATGTCTGCTGTTTGAAATTTATCAAACTTATTTTATTGGACACTTATATGATCATTTTTGTTTCATGAATTTTAGATGTAGTCTAAATATCAAATCATTTTGTTCCTTTATACTCGAATTTGAAAATTGTACAGTAAGTCCTCACTTAACATTGTCGATAGGTTCTTGGAAATTGTGAGTTTAAACAAAATGATGTTTAACGAAACCAATTTTACCCTAGGCTAATTGATGTTAACAAGAGGTAATTCCCTCAAGCATATTTTTGGTAACAAAAACATCACCAACTTCTAAATAAAGACCCAAAACACAATATTATTAAATCTTGAAATAAATGTGAGCTTAGGAAATGTGACCTTACATACACTTAGGAAAGATGAAGAAAAACAAGATAATGATTTTCCAATCTGCTTATTCCAGTTCAGGGTCACAGGGCCCCACTGGGCCCTCTCCTGGCAGATCAAGGCAGCAGGTGGGACCCCCGTTAGGGACATCCCTTCCGTCACAGGGCCACTCACACCCACTCCCACTCACTCAGATGGGAACGATGTAGGCACACCATTCACCTAACTGCACATCTTTGGGGTGTGGGAGGGAGCTGCAGACCCGGGAGAAAACCCTTGCAGACATGCTTCACACAGACAGTGGCCCTGCCGGGAATTGTTCTTTGTTTTTTGTTGTTTTTTTCCCCTCATCAACACTGATACGAAATGATGTGGAATGAAATGACATTATTTGAGACCTGCTGTATTCATATTTCTATACCCTCATAAGTTTTTACCTTCCTAATCTGTCATACCTGAGACTTGCTTTTCATTTTTTTCTGTTGATATTCATGTCTTTTTTTTACTTTATGCACGTCTATAGGTGAGTGGATGCAAGGCCTTGAAACCCAGAGATATCCATTTTGGTGACTTTTTCATTGTGCTCAATTGTGTTCTTTATCAGGATAAAATAACCATCTTTGTACTCTTTAATACTTTTTTATTATCTTGAACTTTATTTTGTCTAAATTGATATCTTGGCTTTATTTGTTTTGGCTTGATATACTTTCGCCTGCCCTTTCACTTTTAATCTTTTCCAGTGTATTTGAGGCATGCTTTTTATAAACAGCACGTTTAAATCCCCAATCGAGGGTCTTTCCCACTTAAAAAATGAGTTTGGCCTAATTTCAGGTATCATAATTTATAATAGCTGGCCTTACTTTCATGCTCTGTTTTTAAGCTTTCCTTTTTTTTGTTATTAAATGACTTCGTTGTTATCTTTTATATCATTTGAAAAAAGTATATATGTCTATAGAACTATAATTTTTATTTCTATGATTACATTTAATTTTTTAAAAAGCTTTTAACCTATATTTCAACAATCATCAGACCTAAGAATGAAGTAATATTATTTGATTTCAGAAACACAAATGTAAAAACTGTATCCTATTCCCACTTCTTAATCTTTGTTTCCATTACCTGAAATTTTAGATCTTGATTTATATTAAATTATTACTTTTTATATACTATTTCCTCTGCAAGGGTCGTTTTTATTATGTGCCTTTCTTTTTATGATAGTTAATCTCGTCTCAGTTTAAGTGGTTTCAGGGTTCACTGCGTTTCATTTATAACACAGCTATCCCATTTTCTTGGCTTTGAATGATACCCATTTCTTGGTCAGTTGGAAAATACCTTTGAGGTTGTATTTAAGGCGGTATCTTTTTTGAGACCATGAACATCTTAGGTGGTTTTCTGTTGCCTTGAAACCTGACCAATACCGTTCTTGGGTCACCCCATTTATCCTTAAAACTCCGTAGCTATTCTTCCATCGACTTGTGGCCTTTAAAGTGGCAGAGAAGACAGAAGCCAGTCTGACTTAGTTCCTTTTTTTTAGGTAGCCTTCTGTCTCTCTGCACATATAGTTCTATCATTGTCTTCATTCCTGCCATTAAAAACAAATTTTTTTTTTGAGGTAGTCATGTGCCACTTAATGACGGGGGATATATCCTGAGACGTGCGCCGTTAGGCGAGTTTGTGGTTGCGGGAACGTCCTCGCATGCGCTCGCACAAACCTAGATGGTACAGCCAAGCCTGCTGTTGTAACTGTACGAGCAATACCTCATACGACCGGCCGCGTGGCGGCCGGCTTGTTCACCCCAGCGTGGCCACAGGCACCTGAGTCAGTGCCCTGTGAGCGCTGACAGTGGCTTTTCCTTTTTTTTTGAAAGGCAGGTGCCTGACATAAGCGTTGATTGGGCCCTTCTGTGTTCAACAAGGCCTTTTTTTTTTTTTAATTAGTTTCAGGTGTACAAAACAATGTAATTGACATTTACACCCCTCACCAAGTGATAACCCGCCTCCCCCAATCTGGCTGTTTTTCATTTCACAAATTAGAGTCTGAGAAGCGTGCGTGCGTGCGTGGGCCCGTGGCTGTGTGGGCGCCTGCGCAGTTGGCCTGGGCACGCGCGTCTTTGCTCTGTGCTCTCTCGTGCTCTGCGTCGCTTCGCCTGCCTTGTTCGCTCCGGGCCTGTGAGTAAGAACTTTTTTCTTCAAAGTTTCTTCACGGTAACGGCCGAAGGGCATCTTGTAGTCATAATAACCACTGATAGTCCCTTTGGTTTGGAATGGGGAGGTGACTCACTGCCCCCGGGCGTTTCCATCCATGGGCTGAGGTGGCACAAAATGGCGGCGCGTTGCTGGGACCGGTCGGACTGGGCCGCCTCACCAGGCCTTAGGAGATTTTCAGCTCCATTATAATCCTGTGGGACCAATGTCATACGTGTGGTCCGCCGTTGACGCAAGTGTCGTTATGTGTTGCATGCTCTCTAAATTTGTTGAAAAACCTTCCTTGTCTAGCGTCGTAAAAAAAGGCATAGATAGATGTAAAATGTTCGTTACGTAGGTGAAGACTGAAAACGTCAATACAGTTAGAAAACACTGAAATAAAGACAGCTGTAGGGAGTATCTCCTGCACAGAGAGAGCCTCCTCAGAGACACGTTCAGGGCTTGGTTTTTAGCTGGTTGAATTAATGAGTGAATGCGGCCGTATAGGGATGACTTTCGACGCCCAACACAGGGTGCACCTGCGCAAATAAGAAGGCCTGTTTTCACGTGTGTAAATGCAGAGGCAAAAAAAAAAATTTCACGCCTCCGTGAAATTATGAAACCTATCTTTACAGCACCCTGGAATATTCCAGCAACAGAGAATTTGGAGGACTTCCATCTTAAAGTGTTTAGCCAGGAACACTGAACCTAGAGCAGGAAAAAGGACTTGAGCGAGATCTCCCAGCTGAGGCATATCAATCTGTTCTCCAAGCTGCAGGCTTTGCCTGAGCCCTCAAGAAAGTGTGGTTACTACTACCTGCATCTCTTTTCTCCTTCCCCCGGGATACAGTCCTGTGTTTATTTTCTGGATACGAGCCCTTTTACACAGGTTTTAGAAGTTGTGCTTTTGGAGTTAACCCTTATATAAGAGGACCGCGTTTCTCTGACCCTGTAACGTGGCTCCCCTCCAACCATATTCACCCACTCCCCAACAAAGGAGCACTGAATGCGCCATTCATGAGCATCGCTTCCCTCCCGCATTTAAAACACCAAATCGAAAAAACGCACCCAAAAGTCTCGGCTGAGAATGAGTTTATGGGTCTCCCCCACATGGGAAGCTCAGCATTACTGGGAGACGCACAGGTCCTTCCCTCACCGGTGGAAATTCGCATGTCTGTGTCTCCTCACTGGGGCATTTTGTCGTTTCAGTATTCATAACTCCATCTTTATTCATGTCAGCCCAGCTCTTGAGTGCCCTGCCATGGCTTTTATTAGCAGCGAAGTGGATGTGTTTGTTTACACTCGGACAGGAAATGAACCCAGGTTTCCTGGTGGTCTGGGTCTTACTCCAAGTCATCCACTATGCTTCCCATAATTAGACTCAGAACAGATCTGAAGTTTTTCTTCCCTTTCAGAGGTAATTTCTGGACAGTGCACAAATAGAATTCAGTGATAACAAAATGAAGATGAAGCTCAATTTATGGTGCTGATAGTTTATTAACTTTTTTTTTAAATGTGTTTTGATGATTGGCACATAGACGATATGGTGCAGCCATGAACTGCAGTGCACAAAATTACTTTCCTCAGCAGCATTTATGATAAAGAGAAATTAATAATTCTAATAATGAAATAACCCTGGCTTTTTTTATGTTCATTAAATGTCTAGAGAGCAGCAAATAAATGACCACTGTGAATTAAAGGAGCAGAACATTTAAATTGCTATTTTTAAATGCAGCAAAACACTAGTATCTGATCTAACAACAACGCCAAATGAAATTTAAAAGCCATATTTATTTCTTATATGAATTGTCTAATTTTAAACCTCCCTTTTGTATCCTAAGTGAAATCTTCTGTGTGAAGAATTCAAATACTATAATTGAAATAAACTGAAACTCATTAATAAGCACGTAAGGATTCTTAAAGGTGCAGACGGCATTGTATCTTCAACTTTTTTTCTTTTAATAGCATTTGAAGACACTAAGAAAGCAACGAGAACCTCAGGGTCACATGGCTGATGGGTGACGACGCTGTGACTGGAAGCACGTTGCCAGACGTCAGGTTAGTGCTCCTTGGACTGTTTCGGTTTTCTCCAGCTTTACTCAGTGCTATCATGAGCCCAGCAGCCGGCCTCTTCTTAGCTTTATAGGAATCACTTGACTTCTGGTGCTTAACACCCACGCAACATTCTGAAGGCATGGCTGGCTAAGTGTGCAAAAAAGAAAAAAGAACGTGTTTTAGATAAATTTGCAGAATGAAAATGGGCAAGTAGGTTGGGCTTGTGATTGTCCTCCTCCTTTCAGTCATCCATCCATCCATCATCCATCCATCTATCCAGCCACTCGTCCATCTGTCTGTCCATCCGTCCATCCATCATCCATCCATCTATCCAGCCACCCGTCCATCTGTCCGTCCATCCATCCATTGTCCATCCATCCATCCAGCCACCCGTCCATCCATCCATCCATCCATCCATCCATTATCCATCCATCCATCCATCCATCATCCATCCATCCATCCATCCATCCATCCATCCATCCATCCATCCATCATCCATCCATCATCCATCCATCCATCCATCCATCCATCATCTATTCACCCACCCATTGAACAGACATCAATGAATGCCAATTATTTGCCAGGCTTTGGACTGGTTAAAGCATGATGCAGTGGTGAACAAAATAGACATGGTTGGTCCCTTCAAGGAACTTACCTACCAGCAAGGGATACAAACATCAAACAAATGGTGAAACAAGTGCCTGAGTGAGATTAGTGCCGTGAAGGAAAGAACACACCATTTTGGGAGGCAGGGAGGAGGACCCTGAGAAGAGCTGTAGGCTATCAGTAGGAATTTGGTCTTGATCCTAAAAGCAATGGGAAGATATTAAAAGGCTTAAGTGATCAGACTCACATGTTGACTGTAGTGTGGGGAATGTGTTATAAATGAACAAGAGGGAAGTAGGAAAATGGATAGGATGTTACAGACATATCGGCAAGAAATGATGGGTGGTAGAAAAGGGAGTCGTGTTAGGGATAGAGAGCAGAGAGAATAAACATCTACTTAGAAGCAAAAATGGACCAAACTAGGGAATGAGTTGTGAGGAGGTTACCTGGGTGGGGATGTCCGTGGTTTCCTCCTGGTCTCTGGCTTGATACCTATGTGGACTGTGGATCCACCGCTTACTAACAGGGGAACAATCTAACTTCTTGGTTCCTTTATTTGTAAAGCGATGCTAGTAAAGTGCCAACCCTTAGAATTCTTGTGCAAAGTAAGACGCTTGTAGTAGTCACTTGTCATGTGTGTAGCACAGAGCTGGGGGCATGGTAAGCGACGAGTGTATGCCTGCTCTCCTTCTTACTACTTTTGATACTTACGGAGAGGAGGGATACTGGAAGAGAACCAGGTTTGAAGGGTAGACAACATGCTGAGTTTTGGGGACACTGGATGTGAGTTGTCTTTGAGATAGCCAAGGGGAGATTGGCAGTGTATAGCGAGAGAGGCTCTTCTGAGCTCCGAAAACTGCTTTGGCATCTGGGATGGTAATGAAGTCTTGTGCACGGATGAGACCACTCAGGGAAGGGATGTGGGACAATAAGGTGAGTGCCTAGGATTGAGTCCTTGAGGAAAAATAAAGTGGGTATGCAGAGGAATGGAAGCCTGCTGTTTACAGGGTAAGGGAGGCACAGCTGGAGGATTGGGACATCTATGGAAGGCAGTGGGACCTCACAGAAGCCAAGGCAGAGGGGTGACTGTCTCAGACGGGGACATGTCACTAGCTCCCAGGCTGCTGCAAAGCCTTGTTAGATGAGGGCTCAGTAATATCCATCGTGCCTGCTGGCATCAGCGTTGGAATGATGGGCTCGTGAACAACGCTATGGGTTTGAGAGAGAAGGGAAGATGAGCTGCTGTGACGGAGGGGAAGGACACCTCACTCAGTCCAGCCCGGAGTGGGAGAAGATCATGGTCCCAGGCTCAGTCCCCCAGTTATTTTTAAAGTAACGGTGTGGTCTTGTGTCTTATAAGTGACATTGTCTTACAGCTGAAGAATTCTGACGAGTAGTTGTCTTTTCCTGGCCTAGGAGTATGGGAGATTTTGAATAATAGTAACCAAGGAGAGAAAGCTGGTTCTGGGCCTGCGTGGTTTTTGTTGGAAACCCCACTCCTTCCTGACAGATGTGGGGACCCCTAGGAGATGCGTGCATGTCTTCTACTTGTGCATCTACCTTGCAGCCAATCCCTAATGTTGGTTGTAGGAGCCCCAGAGATGGAAAGGCACATTTTCCTTATGAGGGCACGGCACAAACCTTGTGCTCAAATAACATTTGCCTGGACATTGTGTTCTTACAACCGTGGAACACCAGGGTTGAGGTTTTGTTGAAGCCAGTGTTGTGTGTATTTAACCTAACTCTAACTGGGGCCCCACATGGCCCCATCTTTGTATAGTATCAGTGAAAAATGAAAAGTCCCTTGAAATAATAGAATTGAAAACACTGCCAGTTTTTCCTGAGCCTCTTGAAAAGTCTCCAAGGGGAAGACAGGAGGCGGGGGAGAAGGGCATTCTTAATGCATAGCAACACTTCTTAACAGTCTTCCCTTCCCATGTTCCCTGTCTCAGTATCCCCCACATGGACTGCAGCTGTTCCCATAAAACACTGCTCAGCCCCAAATTCTCCTGGACATCCTGTCTCTCTCCTTGCTCTCCTCCGTCTTATTCCCCCCGAAGGGCGAGTGCCCTGTTCACTGCCGATCTACTTCAGACTCACGGCCCCTCCAGCTGCCAGAAGCCCCTTACCTCATCTTCCATTTACACTGCTTTTCTCTCAATAACCCACACTTCTCATTTCACACCCTAAGTTCTGATGAATGAAAGCTTTATCTTTGGTTATCTCTGCAAAGATATAGAAAGTGAATTCCTGAGTATGGGGACCTTCAGCCTATTATTGCAAAGACCGGAGCTCCTGTGCGACCCACAGCAGCCTTGGGAATTGGTGTGGCAGCCTCTCGTTTGCAGGGAAGGGTGTTTGGGGTGAAGAAAGGGTGAAAGAACAGAGGTTTTGTTTATGCTCCACTGCTGTCCACTGCTGGCCGAGGGGGCAGGAGCAAAAACGGGATTGAGGCTTGTGAGTCTTGCTGGATTATTCCCAGCGCTGCTGTTGGGATTACAGAGAGAGGAAGGGGGCCTCATGATGGGGCCTCACTGGTACCAGGAGCTCCGAATTCTGCCCTCCGGCTCACATGGCTCTCGACTTAAGAGCATTTGGCAGACTCACCATTCATTGACGTGTCTCCAAAGGCCAGTGGCCTTGCCTGGGGGACACCCCTGAGGCTCTCCGCCCTCTTCTGCCCTCTGGTGGGAGGCTCTAGAGCAGCGGTTCTCAACCTGTGGGTCGCGACCCCTTTGGAGGTCGAAAGACCCTTTCACAGGGGTCGCCTAAGACCATCGGAAAACAAAACAAAATTTACATTACGATTCATAACAGTAGCAAAATTACAGTTATAGAGTAGCAACGCAAATAATTTTATGGTTGGGGGTCACCACAACATGAGGCACTGTATTAAGGGGTCGCGGCATTAGGAAGGTTGAGAACCGCTGCTCTAGAGGCTCCTCTGGACAGAGGCCATTCATGAAAGCACATTTTTCTCTCTCCCCTGGCTCAGCAGGAATCTAATTCCCCAACCTACCTCATCTGTTCAGGAAAAGCCAGGTCCAGGATCACACCAGATTTATTGTTATTTGACCAAGCGCTGTCCTAAGTCCTTTACAAACATGAGCTTCCTTTGTGTTAACAAGACTATGAGGTGGACCTATCATGACCCACGTTTTACTGATGGGAAAACCTGAGGCACAGAGAGGTTAAGTAGTTAGCCCGAGGTCACACAGCTAGCAGATGACAGAGCCAGCATTTGAATCTGGGCATACACTCTCCAGTATATGCTGTTTACTCGCACTTTACACGGCCTCTCAGAGGGAAGCTTTCTTTACCATCACACGAGGCATAAAACACATGAGGCATAAAACACACGAGAGGACTGAGATGTATAAAGCGAGCATAATAATAGGACCCATCTCACTGGGATGAAGTGAGGACCAGGTGCTGTCATCAATGGAAAAGCATGTGGTGTCCTTGGCATGTTGTCATTGCTCAGTAGTAGTTGTTATAGACTGAAAACTGAGGCTCATAGGGGCTAATTGAATTGCTCAGGGTCACAGGAGTAGTTGATCAACTAGGATGAAAAGCCAGCTCCCCAGATTGGTCTTGTGAGCACATATACCATTCAGTCCTTCTCACAGGATGTTTAAATAAAGGCATTCAGCCAAATGCCACAAAGTCTCGAAGTGTGTTCAAGTTGTAAGAACAAATTGCAGCCCCCTCCCCCGCCCGGGCCTCTAATTATGGTGGTCACCCACTGTAAACATACTGTTGGTTTAGTCTGTGCAAACAGCCAACAGGGCACAGGCCCACGTGGATTCTTTTCAAGATGTAAAGAATTTTCTAGGACTTCACGCCGCCGGAATGTCAGAAGAGTTAATGGCACATGTGGCTGTGGAAACGTTTTTGTATTTTTAGACAACCTTTAATTAAAACACTTTGTATGTCTCAGGGACCAAATCATATGTTGCCACTTGAAGGCTGTCAGAAGGGGAAAAAGTGTACAAAGCTTCTAAAAGCAGCTTTGCTTATTTTTATCTGAGATGGAGGGAGCCTTTGCTGGGACAAAGCTCTGTCTTGATACAAAATCACATGAATTTAATACACAGAATGGTTTGACACATTCTGTTTAATTTGCTGCAGTCAGCGCAGTCTGGGGGTCAGCCTGAGGGCAGTGAGCTTAGCCCTGGGCCCCCCAAAAGGCTCATGACCTTCCTAATAAGGTGATACAATTGCTTACCGGCTTGAGCACCCAAATATGAGGTGATTTGCAAGATGGGCACTAAATGCAGAATCATAGGTTGCCTGAGTTGCAAGTGATTGTAAATACGTCTGATGGAGTGGATATTTGACATGAGTGTTTGGAAGCAACTGTATTAGAATGTAAAAATGGTGTTTTTATTGCCAAG